GCCGAAGTCACCGATGTCGCTGACGTTCGTCGTGGTGACATCATCACGTCCACTCGCACCATATCGATCTGGCCCTGGTTTTTCTTCCCCTTGGTTCGCTTCATGGTGACGAAGGTGGTATTTCCAACATCGGTGGAAAGAATAGCGTACCTATTTAAAATAAGTCCACTCGAGCTACCCTCACCAAGCCGGCGCCGGTGGTGTAGTGGTAAGCGTGACTGCTTTCTAACACCCCGATGGGTCTGGGTTCAATCCCAGCCGAGGTCGGTCGGATTTTTCTGAGGCATAAAAATCTCTGGTCACGTCTTCCTTCGGAAGGGAAGTAAAGCCGTTGGTCCCAGCCCATGTGTGTTGAATGGGTGCAATATCCTACGCAGGTGTGGAAGCTGCCTTCCTGCACATTTGATTGCCGTTAATGGATGACAATCGATGTCCGTCGGTGATTGGCACTAGATTGCGGAACAGAGACCGACGTTAAATAAATAAAAGCTACCCTCACCACTACTCTTCCCCGCTTTCTCACGGAGCCTGTTCCGGGAGCGCTGTCTTCGCATCATACGATATGACCGACACTACTGACGACGCGAATAAACGTTTGGAACAAACTAGAAACATATCGAACAACTCGACCGAGCGAGCAAAACACGGACTGAACTGCATGACGGTCAAGCAGAGAATCACCGCGGCTGGTACCTTGACAGCAGCGCTGTTTTATATCTTCTCAGGTTCAAGCAGAACGATGCGCAACCAAGTGGTACTCGATCATGGCGACTGGGTTAGGGGAAACATTTTTTCATTAAAACAGTGATAAAATTATCCCTTTTATTTGTACAATTTTTAAACGATTTTTCAGCATTTGTAGAGTTATTTCCTATCGATTGGTATATTTGGATTTCAATTTCATCTATCAACGACAAAGTTATAAGCATTCAAAACTTAACACCTTTTCGTGATGGGTACAATTTTAAATTTTCGTAGTATATGTCAAAAACCGAGCAATAAAACGTACCAAGTTTACACATACTATTTTTTATATTGATACTATTCGCTATAAGATATGGTCCATATAGGTATTTTTAAAAAAAAGTATGCAATTCGATTACCTATGGCTTGAAATGGATAATGTGGTTTGAATGAAGTCGATAGGTTGTATCATTATCGAGAAATCATAACAAACGTACCGTGTAAATTGCGACTCAGCGGCACCAAACGTGTGAAAATAAAAAAAAAACGAAAAGAAATCGTGTCGAAAAAGACTTGAGTGTACATTAGACTGATGCAAAGTTTGAATTGTTCGCTCCACTGTGCTCAACAGGTTACAAATTGGGTCCTGATTATCGTCCCAAAATTTAATTTGGTAAGTAACTGACTTGGTACAAAACCATTTGAAGTTTATATGAAAATTACTATTGGAAAACCAAAATTTTCATTTTAAATATATTGAACCAAATCCATTTATTTGAACATATCTTTCGAAAATCAAATCCATGCAACGACATAAAATTGCACCATTTAGTTTTCAGGGTTATAGCAGTTTATATTAAATGTATTTAGTAGAAATTTTAGATCGGAGCTTCTTGGAACTTTTGATCCGTCTCCGATTTCAAGAAAAACAAGTTCTTTTAAGAACTGATTTAGTTTTTCTATACAATCATCTCTCCCTTATGAAAATCCAGGCTACTTTGACCACGTTCCCATACATTTTTAAAATTTAGCTCCAAAACTCGATATTCTCCCTAACTCGATGATCCCTTAAATATCGAGTTAGGGAGAGTTGACTGTGTAATAGACTGATGCAAAATTTGAAATGTTCGCTTTACAGTACTCAAACGGTTCCACATCGGGTCCTGATTAGACTCCCAAAATTTAAACTAATTTGGTAAGAAACTGAATTGGCTCAAATCGATTGGTTTATATAGAAATTACTATGGAAAACCCAAACATTTTGTTCGCTGTCTTCTAGCCTTTTTACATATTGCACTGTTAACAAGTTCTATCGCTTTTCTAATGGGAAATTTTCTCAGCTACAACTTTGCAGAAGATCGTTTTTAAGCCATGCGTCAAACTAAATATTTATTAATTGATTAAAGATTGACAATATTATGGCATAATTCAGTAGCTGCATTGTGGGCAACATGGTAGTCTGCAGTGTGAAATAGTAGCCATGATTTTTGTGACCTAATCAACGCCTCAGAAATACCAATGTTGCCTGCTGAACAGTTGATTGAGCATAATCATAAGACATCAGTGCACAGTGACTGGAATCATTAATAACTTGTGTTCCTTACATTTAATCGAAAAGAAATCTTGAACAAAGTTGTAGCTGAAAAAATTCTAATCAAGCTCAGCTATCATTTTCTTAAGCAGAGTGAACTGGTCAATTTTGAGATAGATATGAACCAAAATTTTGGTTTTCCCATAGTAATTTCTATATAAACTTCAAATGGTTTGTGCCAAGTCAGTTTCTTACTATATAAGTTCAAATTTTGAGAAGTTAATCAGGATCCATTTTGGAACCGTTTGAGCACAGTGGAGCGAAAATTTCAAATTTTGCATCAGTCTACTGAGTAACCTTTGTGTACACAAGCTTTTTCGCTTAAATACTAATACAAAGTATGTCATACCATTTTTGAACAAACAGCTTTCAAAAGATCAGAAATGCAAGCTTTGTATTTGGCGAAGGTTGGCGATAATTCCAGAAATAACTTGGAAATTCCTTGGGATCAGTCAAAAAACTATTCTGTCTCCAAACCTACACACTTAGAAATAACTAATTTTACACGTGACGGAATCCGTCTTTGACATAAAAGATGAGACGTAAACAAACATTTCATGTAATATTAAGTGCTCCGAGACTGAAAAGTTCGTTGCTCGACGAAAAGTACGTTTGATTGAGCTATATTTCGCGTCTGTTATGACTCAAATTTATGTCAAAATTGACGCTCGTATATGTCACTCTCAGAGCACCTAAATTTACATGATTTTTTCTAAGTGTGTATTTATATTTTAGAAGTTTTCTTCTACAAACATCCAATATAGAAAGCTATCAGCCCTGAAAATTCTGGTGTGCGATTACGTGGATTTGATTCTTGAAAGATGTGTCAAATGTATTGGTTTTTCTTCAATATTTATGAACATTTTTGTTGGGTGGAAATACAGAGTATGACCATTTCAGTGATTTATGTAGCGTTTTAAAATTATATTATTGATTGACCACAAAATGCATTTCTCACTCGTCGTGTGCTGTGTGAAACTTGCCATCGTCATCGCCGTTTCCGGGTATGAATGATTACAATAACAGCTCGATCATAAATATTGTGCTGTAATATGGAAGGCTCGGTGGCCTTAGAGCGACCATTTTTGCTGAGCTGAAGATCGTTGGTTTAATTTCAGGCATCTTCATATTCAAGAGTCGTTAGTCGTTTCATTCATAAAATGAACACATCACCTCAATTCAGCGTGACGTTTACCACAAAGAACCCTTCTGCAATCCTAAGGTTAGTTCACTGTTTTAAGCATTGATTGTCTTAGTAAATACTATGACGACCATTTCCAAAAACAGAATAATTATGATTTTTAATTCTCCTAGCAGGGCTAACATTTAATTTGTCTCCTTAATAAAGATATAAAAAAAAAAAAAAAAAAATTATACACAAAATTAAAATTATTCAGTTTTTCTGTAAAACACGAAGCGGCAACAGTGGTACAAAACTATTATCAGAAAGGTCTTACTCGTCAAAATAATTCTGTCAAAATTGGGAATCTTTACGATCTGGATCTTAAGATATCATAAATATATGTTTGCTAGCTCCACCATCTCTGCCATTTTTTTGCTCAACACTCCATCTTTCGTTCTCACTCAACTGAACTAATTTTCTAAAAACGAGGGTGTTCTAACATGGTCAGAATCACGATATAATCACACCTATTCCTTACATCGATCGAAATGGATTTCCCATAAAAAAGAATTTTGTATGTACAATTCGTTTCGATCTAAATAGTGAATGGGGGTGATCATGTGTAAGCACACTCAGCTGAACAACTATGTTAATGATCAGGATCTTGAGAAAGCATTTAAAACAATATTTTATTTCATTAGAGCAACCTTGTGAACACATTTTGAACTACGCAAGCAGAAAAATAAAAACTAAATAAAATTGATTCAAAACCATAACTAAATACAACATACGAATAAAAGATAACTTTAATTCGACAACGCATTAGCTTGTCTGTGTTGATTGAATTTTATAATTGCAATTACTCAATAAATCATATTTCGATCGGTTATGGAAATAGCACTTTTCAGAACGTGTATCGCAATGCACATGCGAAACACTGACACGTGAAAAATATTGAAACCCCCATCCTTCAGTTGAGTGATGCCTTTGCTGTCCACACACTGCAAATCACCTCATCGCGCCCAATCGAAGGGAACATATGCACTCGGTTACCCAATATACAAGGCCATAGACCTCATCAAAATTATTGAAAATTTCTTCTCCCCAATCACTTTTCGCTCCGGGTTAACCCCGAAAAATAAAACCTAATAGCCTTGCAATTGCACATCATTGGCTCACTCACCTACCGAATTGCCCAGAGCCTTAACTCACCGTAAACCTACAGACCTATACCCAGCAGTGTTCGGGCTCCTCTTCTCAGCCAGAAATAGCGAGGAAATTTACTTCAATTTATTGTGCCGCAATCTCTGTGTATATTACAATTTATTAGCAATTGCAGTAAAAATAAATAAGCCGCACATAGCGCGCGAGCTCGTCTCAACCAACAGCAGAGCCACCACATTTGACCGTTTATTTGATTTTTCGTGGTCGTTTTTGTTTTCTCATGCCCGCGTGCGCTCGGACTTCGGCGACCCATGACTGGGCAGCCAAAGAGAAAGAGCTTTTATTTCGCGATCAAAAAACAAAAATGTTATGCAAAGATGAGCTAATCCGAGATCTGATTTCTTCTATGTGTGTGCTTCTTCTCGTTCTCTCTTACAGAGCTTATATCATGATTCCATCGCCGTCCTACTACCAGCAGCAACCGTATTCGGCTCAGCAGTATGCAGCTTATGTGAACGACCCGGACAACCACGTACAGACCTACTCACACGGTGAATCTGGCAGCCACAGCCCGCAGCCACCCAGCGGTAGTCCTCCGGCGCCAGCACCAGCTCCTCAGAAGACCCCAGGTGTGATTTACGCTTCACCTTCATCGACTCCGGCACCCTACCGACATCAGTCGCCGTCATCCGAGTTCTCCATCGTAAAAAGCGTCGAACCTCCGGTCTACTATTCCCCGGACAATTACCTCAATTCCCAACCCACCATCCACTACAGCCACTCACCTGCCAAACCCGCCATCCAAATCCACCACGAAACACAATTGCACTACCCCTCACTGACGCATCCCAACAACGGAATCCTCAACTATTTCGGAGCCCAGCATAAGCAACCCACCAGCCTCCTGGACTCCTATGTTCCAAGTTCGCTCCAACTCGCCCCGGTCAAACACTACTCTTATCCGACCAAATCCGTCCCAGTTTATCGTCCTCCCCACCAGCACTTCCATCACCACCAACCCCACCCACAGCTATTCTACCAACCAACCTACCCGGTTTCCCATTCAGCTTATCCCATCTATCCAACACATACCCCGGTAGCCAACCACCAGATCCCATCGGCTTCGGCCCCGGCCTACAACACCATTGCCTATTCGGTTCCACTCTCGCAGACGAAAACGGTCACCCAATACAAGCGATCACCGGCACTGGAGACCGTCGCCGGTGTCAAATATTCCCACCCACGAGCGGTGTCATCTGCCTCCTCCTCCTCCTTCCCCTACTCAGGTGCCATCACGACTAAGCTTCAACCGGCTGCCAAGTTGATTTAATTTAGATTAGTTTTAATTGATTTGCGAAACCAACCTCGAGTGAGCTCGTTACTCATAATTTATGGAATAGTTGTACTTACCAAATAGTGTTTAAGACATCGGGGACCCGATACCTGCGATGGAATCGGCGTGAGATTTTTCTGCAGCGAACTGGAGTTACCTTACAGAAGATGGTATAGGTATGCCAAGACAGAAGGATTTTTATTTTTGTATCAATACAAAAGTTTAGCGATTGTGATTCATTAAAGTACTCAATTTTGTACAGTTTTATTTTTATTTAATAAAATCAAATGTTTAACCATTACCTAACGGTGATAGTATTTATTTTTCTATTGCTGTTCATGGCTTAAGCAGTAGGTTCAAAGTAGTAGCATCTAAGGCGAGATTTCCGATAAACACGTCATATTGTGTCAAATCATATTGTGAAAGAAAGCCAATTTAAAGTATAACTCTGTTATGTGAAGGAGCTTGTGATTTAACTCATGATTGTCTGTTCAGTAAGCCAAACCGGTCGCAACAAGGCCACCGAGCTCCTAATTTCGCAAAACAATTACAAACAACCACCTGTTCAACCTGCTGTTACTATATTTTGATCCTGGTGGTGACATCACTGATGACGATAAAAACTACTCTTGGAAAAAAAATGATAGATCAGAGAACCAAAGGGCAGTTAAAATAATCACGGAAATGGCAAAAAGCTAACAGAAGCTTCGACAAATTCGGGGAAATTCCGGAATTTTCAACAAAGCTCTGAACACCAGGAAAATGTGAGAGTATTTTCAAAATTTTATATGATTACCCTAGAAATTTCAAAAACTTAAAAATTGGCGAAAATTTAAATAGGGTAAATGTTGGCTTCGGCACCCATTGACTGTTTTCGGCAACCAAAATTTAAACGTTAATTTCACTATGTTTTCCCATCAACGCACTTCCCTGAATGTGTCCAAACGATTGTTTAGCCTTTCAGCTTCAATCTGATTATATTTGAACTATCGAGCAATCCAGTAATGCTACATTTTTCTTCAAATAAAGCATACGCACTACAAAATGAGGTTGATTTCGAGTTGCCGATAATAGAACAGCTGGTTAACACGCAGTTCTAATGGGAAGGTTGCCGAAGAAAAAGAGACTGCCGACAATAGTCACACTCACATGAGAAGTTTGGAGCGTTGTAAAAACGCTTTCAAAACGTTTTGAAAAATTCTGTCGATTGGAATGGATAGAGAAGCAAGCAGCAGATGAATGTAAACAAACAGACACATCATATATGTGCGTGACGCTGAGAAAATGCTAGTAGAAGTGCAGACGCTGCTTAGATTGACGAGAATACGTAAGATCCCCTATGATGTTAAGAAAATTTCAAATTATCTAAATTAATTTAAAAAAATGCGATACCTTCAAGAAATTCCAAGAGATATTCAAGGAAACTTAGAAACTTATAAATAGATTCATAGTATTCAGTGAAGTCCAAGGGGTGGACACTCTACACACATATTATGCGTCAACTATTTTCTCAGTGTGCCGCAGATGTGCTGGCAGTGCCGAGTGTGTCAGTCATTGAACTGACTTTGTTTGGTTGCTAATAATGGCATATTTGCCAACCCGGTAAATTTGACAGCTCAATTCATGGCTCATTTTTTTAGTATTGGAATACCGAACAATCCGAACCAAGATTACGATACTTTTGGGCGAGATTGACCGTGATCGGTCTAAGCCATCCGTCAGGATATAATAATGAAAAAAAAAACAAGTCGACGAATCACTCCAGGGGGACAAGCTGATAACGGACAAACTGGCCCGAGCGGAGGATTCCGTCGAGAAGGCGGTCGAGTTCTTTCAACCGCTTGACGAAGACAACATTGAAACGGAGCTGTATTTACAGACGCTGTGACAAACTGCTGCTGATGTTAGTTACCATCGCCATAGCCACTTTAAAAATCATATAAAATCTAAGCATGGGTGCCAAACAGTGCCAATGAATGAGCCCAGGTGTTCCCAAATCTGATTTTGCACACTGTGCGGAGTGATTAAACCCTTGATGAAGTCCTGAGTACATCGACGATGATCATATAGCATCAGATTTGCAGAGACTTTCCAAATTATTCGTGGAATTTTGGGATGTTCGTAGAATTCAATGAATGATCCAAAAACTTCATAAGCGTCAAGAAATTAATATTTAAGGGTACCTCAGAGAAGCACAGATAACTTCAGGGATGTCCGGGGAAAATTAGTAATTTAAGACAAAGTTCCGTGAGCGTCTATAGAGTTTACAAAACTTTAGAAAATGTATGGACAATCAAAGGAAATTAAATTAACTTCAGTCAAATTTCAGGTGTTTATAAAAATACTGAGGAATTTAGGGCAGTCTAGAGAACATAATGGTTATTCTGAAATCTTTTGGACCGTTTAGATAACATCAGGTAAGTATACACTAATGAAAAGTTTTGAATTAGTGTCAGAAAATTTAAGGGTAGTTCCATGAACTTCTGGAAAATCTCATCAACTTGAGTAAAAATCTTGATTTTTTTTTTTTTTGAGACAGAAGAGGGTCTTATGTCTCAAGTCTCAAGTGCATAGGTTATACTCCAGAAGGTGAGTGCAACATGATGGTTGATATGAGAACTTCGATGGAACCTTTTGTCTTTCTTGATTTGTTTTTCGTCGATTTTGATTTCCGTAGCTACTGACGCCACGGAGGCAGCTCCCACCAGTGCTGCAAAATCTCGACAATATACGGTGATATTGACAATTCTGCTTTGGTCACTCATTTGAGCCAACAGTCATAGTCAGGCAAACCATGTCAATTGTCAATGACAATGCTGTCAGTGACGAACATGTGTAGATTTTTATATTAACTAAATTTGTACCGAAATTAAATGACTTGAGCAACACAATAACATGGAGCCTTTAATGTGAACAAGCATCTACGACCTGACATACTTGGATAACAATAATGTGACAAAGTATGTACGAAATTACAGTTTTTGTTACCAGGTGAATCTTTGTCATTGACGAAAAAATGTCTGTCAGTGACTATGTGACGAACAATTTTGTCAATATCGCGTGAAAGTCTGTCAATGACAATGACAAATCTCAGCACTAGCTCCCACACCTGGACCCTACCTATCGACCCATCAACTTATGAACCGGAGTTCAACGGCTTTACTTCCCTTCCGAAGGAAGGCTTGATGAGAGATTTATTCCTCAGAAAATCCCGACGGTGCCGACTGGGATTGAACTCAGGCCCTTAGATCTATATTCATTATTTTGATTCAAGACAAATTGAGGGTTCTTAAAACAGTGTCAGCAATTTAAGAGAAGTAAAAACATTTCAGACAAACTTCTAAAGCTTCACAGAATTCCAACGATCTTCAGAAAAACTTCGAGAACTTCATAGAAGTCCATGGAACTTAAGGGCAAATCTAAGAATTTTATGAATATTTCTTGAACATCGAGAAACGAAATGCTCCAAAAATTCCGGAACTACAGGAAAGTTCAACGAATTTCAGAAAATTAGCGGTAAATTATGAGAAGTTCCCAAATTTTCAGAGAAATTCCCAGATTTTCAGAGAACATCACATATGTTATTAAATTTTTTGAGATCTTCACATAAGTTCAGTGAACTTGACGAAAGCTTACATATGTTTAGGATAGTTCAATTAAATTCACGGCACTACAACAAGCTTCGCAAGAACTGCAAAAAACGTTTCTAGAATTTCAGGAATGAACAGATGACCCCCCAAGGGGCTTGGTTTAATCTTAGTCGGTGCCGTCAGGATTTTCTGAAGCATAAAATTTCTGATCACGCCTTCCTTCGGAAGGAAAGTAATGCTCTTGGTCCCCGATCCATGAGTTGATGGGTCGATATGTGGCAGGGTCCAGAGTGAGAGCTGCCTCCCTGGTGCCGGTAGCATTGGTATTCAGTATGGAAAACAAGATCAACGGAAAACAAATCAAGGAAAAAAAGAGAACCTCTGGGAAGTTCCAAAAACTTTCGAGAACTTCAGCGAATTGTTATTCTAGAATTCTAGAAAACATGCGGAAACTTCACTGCCGTGTGAAATGAACGTGACGTAAGTGCCACCATGCTCAATTTTCATTTTCCCCATATTTGACTTATGCATTCTTAATGACAGTTAAAAACCCATAATACATGCGCAAAATTTTATTTTGTATCAAAGTAGCAATGTTACGTTAGCCATGAGAATCATAGGTCCTTAAAATTTAAAGTGTTTTCAACATCAACGTTCATATATATTAACGGCCATTTGTCCTGAGACCCTCGTACTGGCTGCGTTTGTATTAGATTAGATTAGATTAGACAAAGATTGCGAAAATAATCAACATTACTACTGGACCTTTTTTTAGATCATATTCATAAGGTCCAGTAGTAATGTTGATTATTTGCGCAATCTTTGTCTAATCTAATCTAATATAATACAAACGCAGCCATTACGAGGCTCTCAGGACAAATGGCCGAAAGGATGAATGACCGAAAGGACGAATGGCCGATAGAACTAATGGCCGAATGGACAAATGGCCGAATGGACAAATGGCCGAATGGACGTGACTGGACGAATGAACGAATTTCAATTTATTGGAACAATAGGTTAATTAAATTAATCCCCTTAATCAACTTGACAATTGCTGAAAATATATTCGATTTAATGTTGCAGAAACCAGCAATAAGATCATTAAATTAGGAAACAGTCTTAACAGCAACTGAATAATGTAATCTTAGATCTTAATAAATAAATATAATTCATTTTTAAATAGAGATTATTCCTTCTTTTAAACATGAGCTCTTCTTGTGAAATATATATATTTTGCAGTGATTTTTATAACTTTCAAATAAATATTTTTTATAGAGAAATTTCCTTCCTTTAAACATGAGCTGTTCTTCAGAGTTATATTGTAGCAGATTTATTGACGCTGCAGTTATTCATGAGATTGGTCATCTTTAACCCTTTTGTGCGTGAAGAATGTTTGGCTTTTTTCTACACCGTGTTATTCGATTGGGAGCTGGGTACCCGGGTACCCCGTCACGCACATAATAGTTAAAACTGAGATGAACAATCGCCTGGATTAAAGTGGTAGAAATAGATGAATCTTCTATTCTTCCTAAACATATTTTTGTGGTGATTTTTGGCACTTCGGAAATTAATATTTT